AGATATTGTTGGGTGACAGATTCAGTAGACAAACCCACACGTGGGCTTGATAATGTAGTGTTTTCTTTTTCACACATACTTTTCAACTTTCTCCTTCCCATGTCAGAAAATGAAGGATTTCTTAGGAAGTTTATAGGCCCTAAAAGTTCCCTTTCTTTTTCTCTTGGTAAGGAATGACCTGATGGCCTTGGCATTGAGCAAGTCCGATGGGATTATGAAAGCTCTTGTCTTCAAAGCACCAAAAGTCTTCAGCGACTTCAACAGCCAGTTAAATGTGGCTCTGAGGTTATATTGTTTCCAAAGCTGCTTAGGTTTCTGCCTATCATACACTCTGAGGTCAATCTGTTTGATTCGAGTTCCGACGTCACATACTTTCCCGCATGACCCGTTCTGGGGATGTACTTCCTCGCTGTGGTGGCAATTTAATTTCAGCTTTTTTATCTGCCTGAGTACTTGAGAAAAGTATAACCAGCCCTTCTGGCACCTTTACAAGCTGTTCATGTGTTGAATGTGTCTCATTTAACCACTGATTGACTAACTTCTCCAATCAGACCAATTGTTTATGGACAGAGCTCAATAGATTTACTTCCTTACTTTGAGCATAGTTTTTCGTTTTGAAGGCAAGGAATTTCTGTTCTAACATGTGCACACTGAATATTGAATTTGATGTTTTGGTCTACATTTAAGCCAAAATTTGAATTTTATATAGCCGTTTGCTTGTGGCTGTGCTCGTGTATACTGTGTAAGACATTTGTACCATAGCTAATGGTTTGAATAATTAAACCAGTCTGTGAAGAAGTTTTTGTTTGTTTGTTTTTGAGTCAGAGTTTCACTTTATTGCCCAGGCCGCAGTGCAATGGCACAATCATAGCTAACGGCAGCCTCAAACTCCTGGGCTCTGGTGATCCTTCTGCCTCAGCCTCTTGAGCAGCTGGAACAAGTGCACACTACCACACTCATCTCATTAAAAAAGTTTTTTTTAGAGACAAGGTCTCGCTAATTTGCCTAGGCTGGTCTGTGACTCAAGCTCCTGGGCTCAAGTAGTCCTTCTGCCTCTGCCTCCCAAAGTGCTGGGATTACAGGCATGAGTCATCACCCCGGGCCTGACTATGTGCTTGCTGCGTGGTGTTAGTTGGCGTCAGGTCTGTGTTCGTGTGAGTGAGTGAGCGGATGTGTCTGTGAGTGCGTGAGTGGCACATCTCTACCCTCTTTGTAACTATCAGTACCAGCTGTGGCCTTCCTGAGTTGGTTCCGAGCAGGATTAGCTTTTGGGATGGCCCTGGAAGGATGGGGTGGGATTAGGACTCAGGGTATCAAGGCGAAAGCCACACTAGGAGTGTGAATCAAGTGGTAGCGGGCCCTTGAAGGGTTTTCAGCACAGTGTACATATTCAGTTTCAAGAAGGTCCAGAGGGAGTGCCGTTTGGGCTAGGTTTGGGGGTGTTGGAGAAGGAACCAGGAAGTATCAAGCGAGCAGCAAAAAAATGTTATGAGTAATTCAAATGATTGGTAGTCAGTGAGCTTCTGAAACTGGGTTGTTTTAGGAGGAACGGTGAATTGTGGTAGAATAGGCCAGAATCATTACCTGGTGACCATGGGAGAGGTGGTGGAGAGGGCAGAGTTGCTGTGCTCAAGCTTGCAGCACAGTCCTCAAGCCAGCGTCTGTCTCCTTGCTGGAACATGGACTTGTGCAGGGAGAAGCAGGAGTGCCCAGTCCCAAGCAGGTTCTCAGTGAGGCTGGAGAGTGGGCAGGGAGCAGGTGAACAGGTGGTGTCTTGTGTTTGCCGAGTCTTTGAGAGAAATGCACAGGGCTGTATTTCCCTTTTCCTACACAGAAGAAAGTTTTTATTTTCCATTTTTACCAGTCGTTTTTTTGAAGTATAGCATAGCAGTCAAATTTGTAGCTCTTTGGGGTGGTAGACAAGAATTTTAAGGACTTAAAGGGTGTTTACAATTTTTAGAGGAAGAAATAGCTAACTTAGATAAGTGTCGTTTTCTCTTTCTCAAACATGCTCATTTCAGTTGCCTCTTTTATTAGGATTAGACTTTCCTGTGGATTCTAGAATACCCATGTTACAGCCATTTATACAAGGTGGTTTATTTTTCTCATGAGCTGCTATAACAAAGTACCAGAAACGTGATAACTTAGAACAACAGAAACTTATTCTCTTATAGTTCTGCAGGCAGGACATCTGAAGCCAAGGTGTCATCAGGGCCATGCTCCTTCTCGAACTCATAGGAGAGGCTCTTCTTCCCCTCTTCTAGCCCCTGGTGCTTGCTGGCCATCCTTAGAGTTCCTTGGCTGGCAGTTGTATCCCTGCATCCTCTGTCTCCATCATTCCTTGCCTGTATGTTTTCTGCCTGTATGTCTCTCTTCTAATAATGATATTAATCATGTAGGATTTTTTTTTTTGAGTCAGGGTCTCACTCTGTTGCCCATGCTAGAACACAGTGGCATGATCACGGCTACCGCAGCCTTGACCTCCTTGCCTCAGGTGGTTTTTCCGGCTCTGCCTCTTGAATAGCTGGGACTAGGCTTGTGCCACCATGCTCGGCTCATTTTTTGACATTTTGTAGAGACAAGCTCTTGCTATATTGCCCAGGTTGGTCTTGAACTCCTGGGCTCAAGCCAATCTTCCTGCCTCAACCTCCCAAAGTGCTGGGATTATAGGTATGAACCACCACATCCGGTTCAATCATGTTGGGTTTGGGACCCGCTGTACTCCAGTACGACTTCATCTTTCTTAGTTACATCTACAACAATCATATTCCAAATAAAGTCACATTTTGAGGTACTAGGGTTAGAACTTTATCTTTTGGGGGGATGTCTTAGTCTGTTTGGGATGCTGTAACAAAACACATCACGCTGGGTAATTTATAAAGAACTATTTATTTTTCATAGTTCTGGAGGCTGAGAAGTCCAAGATCAAGGTGCTATCAGGTTTGGTCGTCTAGGGAGGCCTGCTATCTGCTTTCAAGATGGTGCCTTGCTGCTGCCTCCTCCAGAGGGGAGGAATTCTTTGTCCTCATACAACAGAAGGCAGAGGGCTAGAGAGCTGAATACTGCATGAAGCCTCTTGTTATGATTATTTTTGAGTCAGGGTCTCACCCTGTCACCCAGGTTTGAGTGCAGTGGTACAATCACAGCTCATTGCAGCCTTGACCTCTTGGACTCAGGCAGTCTTCCTGCCTCAGCCTCCTGAGTAGCTGGGACTATATAAGTGCATGTCACTATGACATGTCTGGCTAGTTTTTTGAATTTTTATTTTTTATTTTTTATTTTAGAGACAAGGGTCTTATTGCCCAAGCTGGTCTTGAACTCCTGGGATCAAGTGCTCCTCCCACCTTGACCTCTCAAAGTACTGGGATTACAGGTGTGACCCACTGTGCCAGACTGAGGCTTCTTGTATAAGGTCTTTCATTCCATTCATAAGAAAAGAGCCCACAAGGCCTGATCGCTTAGTAAAGACCCCTCCTCTTAATACCATCACATTGACCATTAAGTTTCAACACCTGGATTTTGGAAAGGATACATTCAAACTATAGTGGGGGGACACAATTCAAGGAACCATTTTAGGTTCCTTGGCTAGCATGACACTTTCTTGTCATTCCTGTACCTGGACCACAGTGGCTGCTTCCAAGACCTAGGCAGTGGTGCAGGAAGGTTCCTGGATATTGTCACATTCCATTGGTTTGAACTTAAGTCCTGTGGCTGCACCTGGCTGCAAGGAGGCTGGGAAGAGTGGTCCTTGCTCTGGACTTCCATGCGCCAGCTAAAAATTGGGGATTTTGTTAACCACAGAATATTGAGAGCAGATTTTGATGACAGCCGACGGCTTCTGCCACATGTTCAAAATATTGGGGAGTGGGGGTGGTCTAGCTTGTTTTTTCAATTTCTGAGCCACTGGTGCTTTTCTCGTTGAATTTCAGCTGGTATTTGAGGAGCAGTAGGAAGTTTTCCCATATGTTATTGTTGGATTTGTAATGGTTAGCAGGACTCTGTTTTATTCAGTTACATTGCATTGAATAGCTGCTAACTCGTGTGGAAAATAGCAAGAAGTGGAAGGTATGGCCATTCCTGCTGTCAAGGAAAGGGCTCTAAGGAAAAAAGATAAGTGAGTGTGAAAAGATGCTTATAAAATATTTATTTAAAAAAATCATAAGAGCATTTTTTTTTAAAAAGAATGATGACTTAAGTGATAGTGAATGACAAGTTGTGATATGTTCATTTGGTACATATGAAGGAAGGGAAAGGCAGCGTGAATCTAAGTGCCCAGTCAGTCGGGTGCAGTGGCTCACACCTGTAATCTTAGCTACTTGGGAGGCTGAGGTGGGAGGATTGCTTGAGACCAGAGAGGCCACGAGTTTGAGACCAGCTTAGGCAGCATACTTAGACCTCACCTCTTTAAAAAAATAAGAATAATTTTTTAAAAAAACACTTAAATATTCATCCAGTGGGCCCAGCACACAGATGGGCAGGGCCAAAACTGCCTTTGGGGTTTTGGCCTTTGGCCTGTATTCCCTGCCTATCCTTTTGGGCCGTCTCGATTCCTGAGACTGGGGTTGGCCTTCACCTTTGTGTTCCCTAGCATCTGGCATGATGCTTGGCACATGGTGAGGATTCAGTAAATATTTGTTGGGCCATCTCCTACCAACTTGCGTGTTTTATGTTGGCAACACAAAAGTAAAACCATAAAAATATCCAGGTTCTAAGCGTGTTCAACTCGGGAGCAATATTTTTTTCCTTAGGAAGGAAGTAGTACACTTGTTGAAGAAATTAGAAAGATAGTTGCCTCTTGGGCATGAACTCTTCCTATGCTTATTTATTTATTTATTAAATAGATAGTATTTTCTGATGTGAACCAGTACTTTAAATGCTGTTGATAGAATTATCTGTAGGTTGTGTAAAGTTCAATATTGTACATTCCATGAAAGTCAAGATTTTTGTTTGTGCTTTTATTTCTATGGTTTAAACAATCTGTGCTTTTTCTTTTTCTTTAGGACTTTCTGTTACTTGATGAGATATCACAGTACAATTCCCAACTGCCATCAGATGGTAAAATGATGGTGCACATGCAAGACTTGAGTGCTTTTTGGGATAAGGTAACGTATCTTCCACTGCAAGAACATGACTGCTAAAAGACAGTGTGTGAACACATCTCTATTGTTTGAATAGAGAATTTTGAGATTTTACACACAGTATGAAATGTGACTTGCTCATTTACTGAAAATGTTATAAAAATTCTCAAAATCAGGAGTAAGGTTTATAATTAATAGAAAGTAGATATGAAATCAGACTAAGATGTAGTTCATCGCATTTGCAAAAACACTTTAAAAGCGTTACCTTATTTTGAAGTGGATGTCAGGAAGTTTAGATAGTGATAATGTTAGAGTTTATAGGATTGGACAGACTAGGGATGCAGTATGGAATGGGTTAACTGATAAGTTTGTTATAATTTGTTACAGAGACTTTGGGCTCATTGTAACTTTTACCTTAATGTTTTCAGATCATCCTATCACATATTGAGAAAGACCCAGCATTTGGGTTATTGCCATGGAGATGGGATGGGAGCTCCCCTATTCTAAGAGTATGTGTGGCACTGGCTACCTCTGGCAGGGAGGAGGCAGCAGGCAAGTGAGGCCAACTCCAGACTTCCTCACAGGAGGGCTTGTCTGGCTGGGAGGTAATAGGCAAGGCTATAAGGGTTTTCCAACACTTGGTTGACTGACATTTAGGCCAACAGAAACAGCAGCAGGGGACACCCTCCAAAAGTGTTTGGACTTGCAGACTCAGTGCACCCCCCTTTACCCACAATTCCAGTGCCTTCCTCCTCCCGAGTCTGTGGTCCTCTACAAATCCTCCTGTCTCAGTCTGGGTTAGTTGAGAAAACAACTAGCACAGGAGGGGGGATTTCTGCTGGGAGTTCATCCGCTAGGTAGATGAAGAACACATACAAAGGGAAAGCAATGGTAGCGGAGGCCACCTCAGACTGGCCTTGGCAGGAAACTGCACCCAGCCCTGGGGTTTGAGGTGATATCTCCCAGAGGGCTCAGAGGCTGGCCACCAACAGCAGAACCCAGGGGTCTGGCTACCTGCAGGAGTTGGCACCACAAGGCGGGGGGCTGTTCTTAGGGCACTAGGGCCTCTTGGGCTGCTGGAAACAGGTGGGTGGTGCTGGCACTTCTTTCCTCTCTCCTCTCCCTTTTCTCCTCTCCCTTTCCTCTCTGCAACTGACTTTGAGTTGAACTGAAGTTTGTAGGAGCTGAGATTAAATAGATATTTGAGTAGCACTTTGTCCCAGCTTCTCTCCACTATTTCTGTGGTGCAAATGTGAAAACTCCCTTGGTGCCTCTTTTCTGTACATGCTTGTGGCTCTGAGTACCCTGCTACCTGTGTCATGTTCACCTAATCCTGATGCAGTGCATTGCAGTCCATCTCTGCCAACAAAACAGTGATGTGTTCCTGCATATATAAAACCACATCACTGCACCTTGTGCACCTACAAAGTCACACAAGGTGCATCGCCTGACCCGACAGTTTCTCCCTACCTGCGTGTCCCACTGTAATACACTTTAAGCATTGACCAAAGCACCATTAACACTCCATTATATAAAAAAAAGCACTCTGGGTGAAAGCAGTTGAACTAGTTGAAGCACTGAGGTAGCTAAACACTGTGTAGGCCATTACCAAATTTCTTTTGTATCAAACTCTACAACGTTATAAAATGGGCTGTTTTGTTCCTATAACATGTTCACATATTCATGGACTCTCTCTCTCTCTCTCTCTCTCTCTCTCTCTCTCTCTCTTTTGAGTTGGGAGTCTCAGTCTGTCACCCATACTGGAGACATGATCCTGATCGGGCCATGGTTTACCATAGCCTCGACTTCCGGGGCTCAGGTGATTGTTCTGCCTCAGCCTCCTCAGTAGCTGGGACTGCAGGTTTGCACTACTATGTCTGGCTAATTTTTTGATTTTTTTGTTTTTGTTTTTTTTGATAGAAATGATGTCTCGCTGTGTTGCCTAGGCTGGTCTCAAATTCCTGGGCTCAAGCAGTCCTCTTGCCTTGGCCTCCCAAAGTGCTGGGGTTATACCCAGCCATGTTCTTAGACTTCCTTCACAGTTTGTATTGTAAACAGAGCACTTCATTCTGTTTTCTGGTCCTTGTTTGTGGAGCAATTTTGCCCCATGCTGGAAAGTCATCGGGTCATGTCTAGTGAGGTCGTGGGTGAGAGTGTGGGAAGGGGCGCAGACATTGGGGGGTTTGGAGAAGCTTAGGAGGAATGACTAGTGTGCTGCGTGGGAAGTTAGGAGAAAGAGATGGACCCCAGCAGCAGCTTTGTGGATGGTCCGGGAGGTGTTTAAGGGAAGGTCTTTTCTGTGACCTTAGTCTCCTTTATGAAATGAATGAACTTGCACTCATTCTCTAAGTTGTAAAATTGGTGGCCCCATGGGAGCCTCCACCTCTCCATGGGGGCAGGGGTTTTCATCTACTTTGTACACTGCTGTGTCCCCAGGGCCTAGTCCTGGGTCTGGTGGAGAAAACGGGCTCAGTCAGTGCTCGCATCAGTGTCTGGGGAGCTGGTGTGATGAAGGGGCTGAGCCACCTGAGCCGGCGAATGCTGCCCCCTTCTGGTCATAGGAGAGCAGTGCCAGCCCTGGCCTCCTGGTGGGGGAAGGCACACTCCTGCCCTCAGAAAGGCCCTGATGGAAAGCTGCTTTTTGTATGTAGCTCACTCTCTTGGAGTCGATGCTGAGTAAAATGTAATTAAATCAGAAATAGTTGTTAGGTACATGGGACGGAATAGAGAAACTGAAAAAAAAAAGTTTCTCACGTATTGAAAAACAGCTTCTTCTGGGTAGTTTTTATACTTCCAGTAAAATCTGGGGCTAGTTTATGAGTGATTAAAAGTAACTGACCATTTTGTTGTGTGACCATTTTATTATGTGGTATGGGACATATTTATAAGGCATCAACATATTTTGGTGTGTGCCTGTTTATATAGAAATAATTGTGATTGTTTTGGTAAGTGACCATTCAGTTATTTCCAGAGGAACTTTTCATTTTGAAAATTATCTAGAACCTTTTTTTTCTTCCCCATACTTTTAGTATTTTTTTTTTTTTTTGAATTGGAGTCTCACTCTGTCGCCCAGACTGGAGTGCAGTGGCCGCTCCCGGCCACCGCAGCCTCGACCTGCTGGGCTCCGGCGATCCTTCCGCCTCAGCCTTCCAAATAGCCGGAATTACAGGCATGCGCTACCATGCCCGGCTGATTTTTTGATCTATTGTAGAGATGAGGTCTCGCTGCCCAGGCGGGTCTCGAACCCACGGGCTCAGGCAATCCACTCACCTCAGCCTCCCAAAGGCGCGGGATTACAGGCTGAGCCACTGAGCCCGGCTACTTTTAGTATTTTGACATTTTCCTAATCATGTGTGCCCACTTGACATGTGGAGGGCGGTTGTTGAGTGCAGGTCCAGAGAGTTCTGGGTCATACCTGTTTGTGGGCTGGGTCACCTCAGCTTTTTTAGATTGCCTGTGGGTTGACCTCACCCTGCTTCCTTCCTCCTTAAGGATTGGGCCTTCCTTATCCCAGGGATATTCTTCCCTTCAGGGACTCTAGATTCACTTCTGAAGAATCCTGTTCTGGAGTTGAGGAGGCTGTATTGCCTTTGATTCACTCTTGATCGTTTTTCTATGATATGGATGAGCATTTTCCAAAGTGTGTTTTACTGAATTCTGGCCCCTGAAGGGGACACAAGGGTTTGGAGCTGAGATACATTTGCTAGCTTCTCCACCACCAGGTATTCCTTAGGCAGTCAAGGCTTTCGGATCCACTCTGGGAAATTCAGATGGAGAGCATAAGTATGAGAGTAAAGTCTCTTCCAAATTCATTGCACATGGCGGCTCTTTTTACTTCATTTTCAGTAGTTATTCTCAATTTTCTTCAGATAGTGTTGCTATCTGGGGTTGGACTAAAGTTCTGACAGTTGGTGATTCCTACTATTGAGGTTTTAAACTCTCAATTTGAAACCATCCTTTTCCTTATTTATACCATCTGGCGTTTGCCTTTTCAAAAAGTTAGATAATTCAAAGTACTGGTTGTCTTTGGATGGGAAGCAGAAACCTGCTCATTTGCTTTTCCATGCCCTGCCTTACTCTTTCCTTTCCCCCTGCACATACTTTAATCATATCAGTGAATTTTTTCATACTTAGAAGCTCCATATAAAAGTAGTGAATTTGGTTTGGTCTGTTCAAGAATTAACTGAACTGTAATAAACAGCATTTTTAAAAAAAAAACATTAGCAGTTGTTGAGAATGTTTTAGACATGTAGTATATGTAAAAACATGCATGGACTCTTAAATCGCTCTTAAAGCTAACAGATGGTTGAGGAATGTGATTTCTGGTATGTGATGAATATTTGATCCTTTTCCCCCTCGCATTGGATTGTGTGCTGTAGCACGTGAATCCATAATGTTTATAGTAGTAGTAGTGTGTTGGCCCTGTCTACTCAGGATAGATAGTGCTTGCCTATAACATATGACACTGAGACTATCTCTTTGACTCAGGATCTTATCTTTAATTTTGTTACTTCCCATTTTTGTTGTTAAATGAGCGTTGACCATCATTTGCGGAAGTTCATTTGCCAAGAGTGACTTTACACTGTAAAATGTCTTCTTGTTTACTGAGCTACTGAGATCTGTTCTTTATCAAGTGAAAATGGAGAGATAGCGATGTCGTTTCTTTATCAAGGGCATGCCGTGTACTTATGCTGCCACCTTGTGGCAGTTAATGAAGTAAAAGCTTAAAACCAGGGGTCCTAATGAAAGCTTATAAATGACTTCCCATACTGAATATTATGTTAAGAATTTAATTTTAAATTCTTAATTTTAGTAAGTTAGTGTGAGCCATGGAGTTTTCACTTCTAGAAGGTTGCCTTGTTGCTTTTTCCTACCTAAATTCTGTGGATGTCTAGAGCTGCAATCATATGGAAATCTGGTCTAAGGGAACGGGCCTTCCTTAAAGAAGGAAGTTGCTAAAGGACTTCAAGCCCCACAAAGAAGTGGTGATTGTATGAATAGGACTCCAGGACACCATATCTTAAATTAGGAAGGAGACAGATCTGGGATGTGTTGTTGTATCAATGATTGCTGTATTATTTTCTGTACTTTGTAAAGCTGGCTTGTGTACTTTATTGAAATGGGCACGTTTTTATAAACTTTAATTTGTAGGCATTAGAAACCCCAACGCTTCAAGGCCTTTCCTTTACTGTCAGACCCGGTGAATTGTTAGCTGTGGTCGGACCCGTGGGAGCAGGAAAGGTAAGCTTCGATGCCTTTTGGTAGCTTGATGCAACCCTCCTTCCTATATTAGACTCTTGGAGTTGAGCCCAAGGCTGTGTGTCCCATAGGTTTGAACTGGGTATGCCTGGAATGACATTTCTCAGTGCACAGAATATTCATTTTACAAGGAGGTTACGTGGCCAAATAAATCTAGGCGGTACATAACTATATTTTCCTTGATGCTTCAAGTTGCACAATTGGGAACTCCTTGTCTAGAAGTTGGACATCTCGATGAATAAAATTATTTATGTAACCTCTATTTGGGATGGAATGACTGAGACAGAGGGGACTTCTTTTTGTCAGAGTGGTCCCTGGAGGTTGTACTAGGTTTGTCTTCTGAAAAACTTTAAACGTGTCTTCACATGACCTCTCCAAGTCACATGAATGCACATTATTAGTAAATGTGCAACCAGTTGCGTGGCACTGTGCTGAGGGTAAAAGATACAAATACGGGAGGGGAGGGTGTTAAAAAGAAAACCCTGGAATGATCTTTTGGAGGTCAGGTTCCTTGTAGTATACTCTGAATGTATTCTTCCGTATCAAATGGTCAACCCAAGTTTTTATCTGGAAGTTTTGAGAAGGTTGCGTCACCAATTGTGGAGGAAATGTCCCAAGTTGTGGCGAACAGGTAACTGGCTCTTCCACCATGGCACTGTACCTGGCCACACCCTGCTGAGTGTTCAGCAGTTTTTGACCAAAAGCGGCATGACCCCTCTACCCCACACTCCCTATTTACCTGGTCTCATCCCAAGTGACTTTTTTTATGTGCCTGGATGAAAAAAAGTCCTCAGAGGGAAACATTTTTGCTGATGTGGCAGAGGTGAGACAAACAAACAAACAAAACAGCAGGAGTACTAAGAGGCACCCAAATTGATGAGCTCAAAAACTGTTTTGAGCAGTGGAAAAATCATCCCAGTAGGTGTATCACATGAAACGGAGAGTACTTTGCAGGTGACTGAAGCTTAAACATGCATGAATAAATACAACTTTTTATATATAAATTCCACGGGGTGGGCTCCCTCCTTCTCTAAGCAAGATCCCAATGCCATTGCCCTCCAGAAGCGCCCAGTTTTTGGAGCGAGACAGATATATCAACAGATGATTCCCGTTCAATGTTGTAAGCACTCTAATAATGGCAGGCACAGACCCACCACACCTGTGTGTTGGAAAAGACTTGAAGAGTCACACATATACTTAGTCTCTTGCATTCCAACACAACAAAAAATTTAGAAATCTAAACATAGGAAGTATAACTGTTAGGGTGATTATTTCTTTTATAATTGATTTTCACTCTCCAGAAACATGATCCCAGGGTGCCTTTAAATAAAAGTCTTTCCTAGCTTTTTTGGGAGCAAAGATATTGTCCAGTAAAGGATACCTGCATGCAGAAACAACTGCATTCCGTATGGGCTAGATGAAATATACATCATGTTTGGCTACTCTGTTGCTATAAACATTCTAACTTGGTCTTTTTTCCACATACCATTTCCTTTGGGGGAAACTGTTTAGGGCAGAGTAGATTGTTACACTTCATTTTATTAATACGCCTTATAAAACGTTAGTTTACATTGGCCAATAGTGTTATTTCCAATTTTTTATTGCAACTTCCAGCGCCGTACTTTATCGCATTTTAAATGCAAGAATTATGTCTATCAAACCCTTGGGCTGGGCAAAGCTGTGTTGCAGTGGCTTCTTCTATCCTGAGTGTTGACTGTGAGCCTTTGTTTTTTAACCATCTGTTTCAGTCATCACTGTTAAGTGCAGTGCTCGGGGAACTGCCCCCGAGTGAGGGCCTTGTCCGCGTGCATGGAAGAATCGCCTATGTTTCTCAGCAGCCCTGGGTGTTTTCAGGAACTGTACGGAGTAATATTTTATTTGGGAAGAAATATGAAAAGGAACGATACGAAAGAGTAATAAAGGCTTGTGCTTTGAAAAAGGTGAGTGATGACTTTTATGTGTTTCATATACTTAAGTGTCAGGGTGAAATCATTGTTAATGATTTTATTTTTGAAAGGTCTTTTTTTTTTTTTGAGTCGGGTTCTCACTTTGTCCCCCAGGCTGGGATACAGTGGCATGATCATGACTCACCATAGCCTGTATCTGCTGGGCTCAGGTGATCCTCCCGCCTCAGCCTCCCGAGTAACTGGGACAACAGTCAACAGCGCATGCCACCACACCCTGCTAACTTTTTGATGTTTTGCAAAGATGAGATCTCACTATATTGCCTAGGCTGGTCTCGAACTCCTGGGCTCAAACAAACCTCTCACCTCGGCCTACCAAAGTGTTGGGATTGCAGGCTTGAGCTACCACGCCCAGCCTATTTTGAAAGATCTTTGACTGTTATTTAATACTTTAAGCCAGTTTCCTGAGTGTACACACACACACACACACACACACACACACACACTCTTTCTCTCTCTCTCTCTCTCTCTCTCTCTCTCTCTCTCTCTGCTGTTTTAATCCTGATGTGATGATGTTATTCATAGGATGCTCTTTTTAGGAGTTAAGTTGGTTGTGTGATATTTTATTCACTTTTAACTTTTAAAAACATTTGTGCAGAATCTTCACATCCTCATTGCTCAGCGTCAGCCTTGGTCACTTGTGGCCTATCTTGCTCCCTCTCTGCTTGCCTTGTCCCTACCCCAATCCTTCCGAAGCAGACCCTAGCCTTGATCGTTTTTGATCTATGCACGTTTTATTATTTATCTTTAGAAGATAAGAACTCCTTTCTGGGGGACAAATGACCTTATCACACCTATGGAAATGACGGGAATTCCTTGCTGCCATCAGCTGTCTAGTCAGTGTTCACTGTTTCTTAGTTATTTCCTTAAAAAGCCTCTTTACCCGGTTACCCGTCAGTTTGCATCTGACTGCAGATGAGGTCTGCACATTGCGCCTGGCTGATGCCTCTTCCTTAGGTCCCTTACAGAGGATAGGTTTCCTTCTTTCCACTTTGCTTTTGACTAGCAATTTATTATTTAAAGAGAACAAAATGTTGTAAAATCTCTCTTTTAAAAAAAATTTTTATTTTAAAGATGTGCGGTACAATTCAGGATTGGGTATACAAATGGTCATCGTATAGGTAAAGTTTGGACTTCCCTTTGGTTCCCGTTTTGCCTGGTTTGAGATCGGGCACCCTTACTGATGTTGTGTCTTCCCCCACCCCCGGCCCTGGCAGTATCCCGCTACTGCCAATCCCTTTCTTATAGTATTATGGTAAATGTTCATGGTCTGCTTATGAGCGAAAAATCTCTTTTTACTACTGCATCATTTCACCAGGAGAGAGATTGTTTTCAGAAGTGACATTTCAGAGACAAGGGCAAGATGAAATATTGAATTGTAGATTTAGGTTTTAATAAAATTGGTAGATGATTGAAAACTTGAGCATACTTAATAGGAGAATATAAGTTAGCAAATAGAAGAAAAGGTAAATTTGAATAAATATCTGTTCTGTTACTCTTGTCGGGCGGTTAGAACGAGTGAACGGTGGTGTTAAAGGGCTCTCCCTAGGGTCTGAACCCTGCAGCCTGGCCTCCAGCTGTTCCTTTATCTTGTCTGGAAAAGGCTGCCACAGATTGTCAGAAGTACGATGCAGAAGGTTTCCTTCCAGCCAGCTTTGGGAGGAACGAGTAATTTTGCTTGAACAATGGCTTGAATGTCATAGATTGTATTCTATGGCGATGTGGACAGCAGCATAATTGCTTGTTTAATCGGCTTTTATTGCTTTCTCCTGGGTTATTACATGTTTGATTACATGTTTTTAGAAATGACATTAGCTTAGCAATCATGAGCTAGATTTTTATTAAATAACATATATTGTATTAGAAAAGACAGGGTAAAGCAAATGTAGAACAGAAATAGTAGCCGCTCTCACTTATTCAAAGTTCACCATGTGTTAAATTTCTCTCTCTCTCTCTCTTCCTCTCTTACACACACATACACACACATTCATATGTGCACACAAAGGCACAAGAGTTTTTAATTTTTTGCCATCATTTCTCAGTGTCTTTGTTATTGCTGTCCTCATTTTATGGTTGGTGAAATGGAGGGTAAAGAGATGAAACTATTCACCTAAACGCTTGTGGTTCAAGTTCACACCTGTATTTTCATAGCTCCAGATTCCATTTTCCCCTCTGCCAGGCTGCCTCTCAATTGAGGAAGTTTATAGGGCGGAACTGTTTTTAAAAATGGGGTGATTGTTGACAGTGGAATGTGGAAAAAAAGCAGTTCTCAGGCATTTCTTTCTCACTTCACTCATACTCAGCTTCTGATGCCCACGTCAGATCCCAGATTCCCAGGCCAGCGCAGCCCTGCCTCTGTCCTCCCCATGCCTGGACGTCTCTGGAGGGAAGCAGGGGTCGGGACAGTGGCTTTCACCTATCATCTTCCATGGCCACCTGGGAAGGCTGGGTCAGTAATGTGGACAGTGTCCCAGGCTTTGGGTACCCCAGGGCTTCTGTGTGGCATTCACACAATGGTATGCATTCTGACTGCAGTGGGAATGGGGTCCCCTCAGGGCTGGGCTGCACAGTGATTTTCTAGTTTGTTCTTTGATATTTATAAACATGGACTATTATCCTGCTTTGCACAGTCCCATCGTTGGCAGGTTGGTTGGCCAGGATAGAGAAGTAAAGCAGAACAAGTCTTGGCTGTACTTTGTCACTTGCTGGCTGTCATTTTGGCCACATCATGTTACCTGTCTGGGCCCCTGATATTTCTGTTACAGAATGGGGACACTGCCTAATATAGTTTCCAAGAGGTTTTGCCGCTGTTCTAAAATGCCATTTATGGCTCTAGTTAGTAGGGGGACAGCAAGGTCCTTGAGAAGCCAGCAAACTACTTAATGAGTTTTGAGATCCTTTGCTGATCTCCTTCTTGAATCCGTGTGTTCATGGGCAGTCATAAGATGGCCATAGATAATAGGAGCTTTCTGGAATTGTTTTGGCCCGTAGGTACAGAGACTGCATGTGTAGTCATGGACAGTGGACAGAAGCAGTGCTGGGTAGCTCCCGGTGTTTACCTCCTTTGCCTTTTTTGTTAAATGGAGGAGGGGGGTATGGGAGGATTGTTAAGACAACAGGCAATAGCTGGAAACTGCACAGCTGCCAGGTTTTGGGTAAGTAGTAGCTATTGTCACTATTATAGCCCTTTTCTCTAAATCAGTTAATAAGATAACTATTTCTTCTTCCAGTTCCCATCCTCTCTCCTTCTCCCCTCCAAAAAAATTCCTGGAGGAAAAACAGGAAAAAGCTGATTTCTCATATTAGATATATTGATCACTATCCCAATTACAATATATTATACTAGATCTAAATGTTTATTGCGCTAAAACATGTCTGGGATAAAATAACAAGATAGGAAGTAATAATTCACTTTTAGCAGTATTACTTCAGTCTGATTACATATTCAGAGCAACACTGTTTTGTTTGTTATAGGACATGCCTCAGGAAGCAATGTCATACGGTCAGGTACTTGAGGGGTAATAGTTAAAATCCTAAGGTCCTGGGGTCACACAGCTCTGGGATTCAGTCTTAGTACCCCTTTACTAGGCATGCGATTTTAGCTAATTGTCTCAATCTTAAAAACCTCAGTTTCTTCATCTGTAAAATGGAGATGCTAATACTATCCATCTCAAGCTTTTGTGAAGATACAATTCGATCATGAATTTAAAGTGCCTGATTGCTAGGTGCATAACAGGCCCTCTGTAATGTTAACTCTTATGCGTGAGAGCCGCCAGTTCTAGTTAAAATCGCATGAAATGGAACTTGTTTGAAAGAATGTATCTGAGTGTATAAGTTCCATTTTTTGAATTGATATTTATATAGGTATTCTATACATAGTATAATAAATAAATGAAGAATAAAAATATTGTTACCTTAGTGGATGTAACATATTGTGTAACTTTTGTCTGCATATTTTGTCTGCATATTTTAACCCTTGAATATGTTTAGAACTTTTAAGTATATTCAAAGGTATGGTATTGATAATTTTGAGTTTAACTTTTTTCATATAGATTGCTTGAATATACAAACTCTTTTGTGGTACCCACCAACTTCTAGTTTCTTTTTATATTTATCATATTCCTATCAGCTTGGACATTTTCCATCAGATTGCTTTGGCAATTATAAAATAACTCTTGCTTTATCTTTTTCATCTTTTTTATTTTTATTTTTTTGAGTGAGGTTCTTTGTCACCCAGGCTCTGGAGTGCAGTGGCATGACTGTGGCTCACCTTCTGACCTTCCTATCTCAGCCTCCTGTACCACCATGCCTGGTTATCTTTTTCATCTCTTTATTGGGAAAATTACCTCATTTCCCTGTGACATAATAGAAAATAAGAAATGCTGAGTATAAAAGGAATACAGCTGGATGCGGTGGCTGGATGCCTGTAATCCCAGCATTTTAGAAGGCTGAGGCAAGAGGATTGCCTGAGCCTAGGGGTTCGAGACTAACCTGGGCAACTCGGTAAGACCTCGTCTCTACAATAAAATAATAAAATACAATAAAATAATAAAATCAAAAAATCAAAAAAATTAGCTGGGCATGGTGACACACACCTATAGTCCCAGCTTGGTAGGCTGAGACGGAAGATTGCCTGAACCCAGCAGGCTGAGGCCATGGTAGCCGTGAGTATACCACTGCGCTCCAACCTGGGCGACAGAGTGAGACTCCAACTCAAGGAAAAAAGGAGTGTGGATCCAATGAGGCAAAATCTAAATGTGGAGACTGAACTGATTGCTGCTTCTGTGTGTAAGCCCAGAGACCTTCACGTGTTGAGCTGTTTCAGTATTGCCGTTACTTTTAATATATCTTTCAGCAACCACTTGGGGTAGCACGAAATGAAAGGCCATCAGGCTGTGAACTGAGAAGAGCTTGGTTCAGATTCCAGCCTTTCCTTTTAGCAGCTGAGAGTCCTTGGACCGGTTATATAGCCTCACTTCGTCTCAGTCTCCTTATCTGTGAAGTGGAACCAGTATTCAGGTTGCAGGTTGCAGGTTGTTGTGAAGATTAAGATAATATCTGGCATCTGGAACAGTGGTTGGTGTGTATTTCTTACCATCCAGAGCTGATGAAAGGATGGATAGACCGTGGACACATGTAAAAACTATGAACAGAACAAAGTGGGCTTTTTCCTTAGAAATACAAACAAAGCTACAGGGTCTAGCAGAAAGAGATTATTTCTGACCGGGAAAAATGCAGGGATGGGTTCATAGAGGGGATGAGTTGGGTCTAGACAAAAGAACAGAAGATGGACAGGCCATGATGGGAAGGGCAGTTCCACACTGAAGCAAAGCTGTGTGCAAAGGCACAAGGCCCTACTCTCTGTCTCTGGAGCCCAGGGAGGGCCTCATTAAGCATTCCAATAGCCTCCTCCACTGTATGCGCCAAACCTTCATACCTTTCCTGCTTTTCCTCTAGTTTGTGTTTCTGCTTTTCAGAGCAATTGTAGATGAAGTAATTGGTTAGTTTTATAGAGAGGGTACTCACATAATAATGCCTTCCTCTTACTAGGAGCACTTCTCATTTCTGCTCATCTCATGCTTTCCCTTTAACCAAACCAGAAAATCATGGTTAGGAAATTAGCCTGACTGAGATTTTACTTCAAAACCTTTGAAGTATTTTCCCTATCTGAGGCTTGTCCATAAATAGTTTGCCAAGTCAACAACACTCAAGGTAGTTGTATCATCAAAGTGCTACTCCCAGACTCAGAGAGGGCTCTTTCTTATTCCCTACCTGTACTCTAACTGAAAGGGTAGATTTTAAGTGCCTTCTCTAAAAAATGACTAGGATAGCTGTACTATGACTTGATGCTATTTTGAGAAAGAAAACAAAACAATGTAAAATGAAGGCATAAAAACTAAGCAGAACACATTATAAGGACTGTCAGCAATGAAACGGAGGCCAAGTGAAAAGTGTGTGTGGCGGGGAGGGGGGCAGAAGGCTGGGAACCTATCTTAAAATGGTGCATTGTTTTTTATGAAAATTAAAAGCAAGAGACAGTTACTAACTTCTGAGCTCAGCAAAGCCAGAATGTGAAATAATGAGGAATTTTCATAATAGGGCCACAGCTGCCTATCACTTAATGCAATCCAGGTCACCTTTGAGCATGTGGGAGACTGTGCCTGTGTGTAATCCACCAGGGAGTGGATTACAATGGAGATATTCTCTTTGCTTCTTTTTGGTGGTGTGCTTTGCTTAGTGTGATTCATGGTGTGAATGGCTTCCCACCCTTGGTTGGGTCAGAAAATATGTCTCAGCCACCAATAGCAAATTACAATGAACTCTCTCCCTTTTTCTGCTTGTAAGAGGGTGTTCATACACTTATTTCTTTGAATTCCTCTAGCATCCTATGAATTTAGTAATTCTTGTTTTTCCATGACATTTTGTAGGAGAGGGAACGAGAGAACTTGGGGAGGTTAGAAGACTTACTTGTTTGTCGTAGAAGTCCCAATGTACCATTTACTTTGTCCCCAGATGTCAGAGTAGAGACAAAGAAATGAAGGTTTGTTCTGTAAAAGGGCTATTTCTGTAGAGTCCTGGGTTGATGCTTCTAGGGTTAATTAGTAACTAACAAACTCCTCTAAACTCTGTTTGTCTATGCCAGGGTCTGTCTAGTGGTAATTATAGGCAATCCAAGTAAATATTTCTAATGTAATATTGTGTAACTTAAACCTAATTGTAAAACCTGTCATTTTCAGTATGTTCTTGTCATCATCTTTTTTTTTTTTTTTTAATGGTACTGTGCTTTGTCAACTTATTGCTTAAATAGTATTCAAATATAACTTTGGTTAGGTTCCCAGATCCTCAAATAAGAACTTCTTATCCTTCTTAGCTTTTGTTTTTCCTGGCTTGCATGGAACAGAATCTACTTAGTGCAGCCGATCTGCTGAGTGTCCTTCGAGCACTCGTGTTTCTTTCCTTCTGTTTTTTTCTGGCCAGGCTTCCCTTTTTGCTCTTATTTCTTGGGTAGCTTTGTCTGTTACTCTATCATGATGCCTTCAGCATCACTGCAAGACATAGGTCAGGTGTTATGTCTTCTCTGAACATGGGAAGATGAGGCACTTGCATTTGTGTTAATTTTTTATTGTCAGCCACTCATGGTGGAAACGCTAGGGACTTTGTTTCCTTCATTGCTGAATTCACTATGCCCAGAACATTGCCTGGCATGTAGTCAGTGCTCAATAAATTTCTGTTAAAATGGTTATGTGTAGGATGGGTGCGGTGGCTCAGCCAGTAATCCCAGCACTTTGGGAGACTGAGGCAAAAGGATTTCCTGAGCCTGGAGGTTCGACACCAGCCTGGGCAACTTGGTGAGACCTTGTCTCTACAATAAATCACGCCAGCACTAGGCGTGGTAGCATGTGTCTGTAGTTCCAGCTACTTGAACTGCCTGAGCCCAGCAGGTCGAAGCTGTGGTAGCTGTGAGCATGCCACTGCACTCTATCCTGGGTGACAAAGAGTGATCCACCAACTCAAAAAAAAAAAAAAAAAGGTATATGCTGTAAAAAACTAGAAAAACTACAGCATCAAAATAAATAAAGCACCTTGAGAAATTTTGAAAGTTTCAGAGTTATAGTTTTGTCACTATGAGCTATATATTCATTGCCATTGATCCAATATATGTATATTTCTAAAGACTTAACACACAGAGTTTAGGGTGACAGCAGGAAAACGCACTTTAAGACCTTCCCCCCTTTCCTTTCTCCATCTAGGATTTACAACTTTTGGAGGATGGCGATCTGACTGTGATAGGAGATCGCGGAACCACACTGAGTGGAGGGCAGAAAGCGCGGGTCAACCTCGCAAGGTAGGTTGCATTCAGCAGTGGTGGTGAACACGTAGGACCCAGTTATGCTGCATGTTGATGGGTCCTATGTGAAGCATCTGTCGTCTTGGAATGAGCGTCCAAGTTGTTGTGTGTTGTCGTGATTCTTAGCTGAGAGTCGGGAGATGTGGCACCTTCTTCCGTCTGATACCTCTTTCTGTTTTCTAGAGCAGTATATCAAGATGCTGACATCTACCTCCTGGATGATCCTCTCAGTGCTGTGGATGCAGAAGTTAGCAGGCACTTGTTCGAACTGTGAGTTCACCTGTTTTATGTCATTTCTGCTTTCCAAGAACCCTTTTGAGTTGGCTCAGGAAAGCCTTTGTAGCTTCAGAAAATTCAACTTTCCCTGCCTGGTGTCCAACTCTCCCTGAAGATCCATTTTAGAGAAATTTTGCACCGGTATGAGAAAAGTACAGAAAGCGATGTGATTTTAGTGTGTTGAAGTGAGTGGAGTACATGCTTAGGGAGTTCAGAACTAGATGGCAACTTATGCAGGTATCCCCCAATACTTAATAGCTGATAACCAAGACATTGCTGATGAATCTAGACCCCAGAAATAAGAAGGATGACATACAGTTTTTAAATAGAGAGGTAGGACTTGGCACCCTGACATTTGACAGCTCTTTTTTTCTACCACTTGTTTATGACACATTAGAAGTGAGGTTTTCAGGACCTACAGAGGACTTTCCTGGGAAGGCCTTGTTGGTTTATGCTTCTTAATCTGTAGGTTTGGAAATAATCAATAAAGTGAAGTCTAGAATTTAAGAATGATTCGCTCTGTGTTAGAGTATGACTTCAAGAGTTGAATGTGGATTCTTATTAGCATGAACATTTAAGACCTGTAGATGTATAAGGTAGCTTGCATTGAAACTAGTTATCCAGAATCCAGCTTCACTCCTGGCTGTTCTCACTTGGTATTTCTGGAATTTGTTTTCTTTGGCCCTTCCTTAACCACCGTGCCACTGAGGTAGAGCAACTCTGGAATTTTCTGTGTGTGCTGTAACCTAACATGTGGCGACTGATACTTCCTGTGTAGTCTAGACTGGCTTATTTGAAAGCATTGCTGACTTGGCCTTGGTAAAACAGGATTCACACCTGCCCCACTGTTAACTTCCTGTTTGTTGTTCACCTTGTTAAGGCCACTGAGCCCTTTCAGCGGCACCGATTGGAGCCCTTCTGTGCAGTTGAGATGAATGCTCCTACAGATGTTATTGCACAAAACATCTTAGTTTAACAAAGGAGGGCTGTAACTCACAGAGATGTTAAGGATCCATCAGGGCAGAGTGAGGAAGACAAAGAGGTTTAGATCTCATTCCTGCCCTTAAGGAATTTGTCACTACCCAGGTTTTATCCAGACATGTACATGGGAAAAGGTGGCTTCCATGCAGGATCATCAGTGCTCTATGGAAGAAGCGGTGGGCAGCTCCAGGTGCTGAACTGAGATCGGAATTCTCACAGTGGGCTGAGCTTGGCAGGAAGCAGTCTGTGTGCTGCAGGCTGGAGTGGTGGATGGACAATGAGGTTAGGTTTCAGTTCCTTTTGTGAAAGGTATAGTACTAGCCAGGGTGTAGGTATGAGAACAAGCAAGGCCCATGGAAAGAACCGCAAGAGGCAAGTCTTCAAGCTAGGCATGACCTTGGGGCCGGGGGCCGGGGGGGTATTACTACAGGTCATAGTGTGGGGGAAAGATGCTTGAGGTGCTCGCTGTAAGGGCCCATGTTGACCAGCCAGGGCTGCCATAGTCAGATGCCAGAGACCAGGAGGTTTGCATACCAGCAGCTTGTCTTCTCACAGTTCTGGCATCTGGATGTCTGAGATCGAGGTGCCTGCAGGTTTGGTTTCTCCTGAGGGCTGTTGTAGACTTGTCCATAATCGCATTCTCTCTGGTCCTCACATTCTTTCCTCTTTGTGTGTCTGGGTCCTAATCTCTTCTTGTAAGGACATCAGTCGGAGAGGAGTAGGGCCCACCCTCCTGGCCTTGTTTTAACTTAGTAACATGCCTCCAGCCTCCAGGCTCTGGATTCCAGGGGCTGGGACACAAGGTCATCTGCTGAGTGTAGGGCTCGAGGCGGGTTTCTGAACCTTCCTCTGCCAGAGTGTGTGTGTAAAATGTGCCTGGTATTGGGGTGATGGAAGAGTCCTGGAGCTGGTGGTAGTGATTGCACAACAGTGTGAAACTAATTAAAATGGTAAAATTGATATTATGTGTATTTCACCACCATCAGAAAATTGATATTATGTGTATTTCGCCACCATCAGAAAAACGTAGATGGCAGTATTGGAATTTTCAGGATGCATAGAGCAGGAGCACTTGGCACCTGGCATTGTCCCTGGCTCTCTGATCTGGCTCTCCTTCCTGCCCTCTCCTGAGAGTGACTTGGTGAATTTTCTCTTCGGTAGAGAAGGGTCTCTGTGGCTTGTGTAAGTCTTGTGCAGGTCCCCACCAGATCTTTATCATTCAAAGAGCCATTCCTGGTGGGAAGCTGCATTAGTGTCACCAGGGAGGAGAGAGTAAGGTGTTCTAATTGCTAAGTATCAGTATGCATCTCACCAAATCCCCAAGTTTTTCTTTGAACACAGGAAGTATTTATAAAGTCCTCTTGCACCTTTAAGGTTTAATGACTTTGGATATACACTTGATAGAAGCAAGCTTGTTAAAATTGTTGTTTGCTAATCAGAATCACATTCTTTGGGGAAACTTAGGGCAGGGAGCACGAATGCAATTTAGGAAATCACTCAGCGGCAACTGGAGAATGTTCTCAACGAGTTAGAAAATTGGATTGAACAATATGTGACGAAAGATGGCGGTTGTGTTGAAGCTTAGAAATGTGAAGTGTTTTGTATTAAAAGTGAATGAATTACACTTTATTTGCCATTAACAGTTTTACTTCAGTCATGAATATATATCCAAGGTTTGCAAGTTTTACAACTCGATGTTGTAAACATTAAGTGGATTCCATCATTTACACAGAAGGTGAGGGACCCTTAGATTAACTGATGCCAATCTGATTTGTCACAAGCTATTTTGTATTTTAGAAAGCCCCACATTCTTGAACCCCTGCCTCCTGAATAATGAGTTCTTTTGGTCTGTCCTAATCAGATCTCCATCCTTTTGCCTACCTCGTTGTCTTAGTCCATTTGGGCAGCTTGATGATTAATGCCATAAACTGTGTGGCTTATAAACAACAGAAATTTATTTCTCACAGTTCTAGAGATTGGGAGGTTCAAGATCAAGGCCATAAGTTTTGATGTCTGGTGAGGACTCACTTTGTCTCACAGACGCAGTCTTCTCAGTGCATCCTCCCGTGGTAGAAGGGGAAAGCCAGCTCCCTTGCACCTCTTTTATAAAAGGACACCAAACCCATTCATAAGGGCAGATTCCCATGAAAAGGCCCTGCCTCCTGATACCACCCACTGCATTGGTGTTTAGGTTTGGATTTGAATTTGGGAAGGGCCGTGAGTGTTCAGACACAGCATTAACTCACCTTCCTCTTTTCAGTCTTTTATAGACTCTTTCACTTTGAGGATATAGTTCAGTGTCCTCAAATGGCAAATAGTTCTTTGCAGTCTGCCCTATTCTCCTTCCCAACCCTTCCCCACACAAGTCCAGTTCTCCAGTAGTGCTGACTTCCTTGGCATGCCTGGAAGGGGGGCGTGACTTTCTCATGTCTGCCTGTCTGTATGGGTACTGCTCCTTCTGTCCTAGAGTGAGAGACAGCTTGCCTGGGCAAAGGAGAAATATGAAGAATGCAGATCCTGCCTACCTGCCTGCCTTTCCTTTCTGCTCCTCTGGGGGCATGGTGCCTTCTCTGTCTGCCCTCAGCTCTCAATAATAGGTTATTCTTTTTTAATTTTTTTAGTCCAAGTCTCATTCTGTCACCCAAGCTTGCGTGCAGTGGCGTGCTCACGGCCACCACAGCCTTGATTTGCTGGGCTCAGGCAATCCTTCTACCTTAGCCTTCTAAGTAACTGGAACCATAGGCATGCGCCACTACACCTGGCTAATTTTTTGATTTTTTTTGTAGACACGAGGTCTTACCAAGTTACCCGGGCTGGTCTTGAACTCCTGGGCTCAGGCAGTCCTCTCACCTCCACTTCCTAAAATGCTGGGATTATAGGCGCAAACCACCGTGCCTGGCAATAATAGGTTATTCTTGATCTACTTATGTGTCCTTCCCCTGTCCCTCCACACTAGACTGAATACATGAAGGTGCCTTTGCACAGCATGTTTCTGCCCCAGAGACATTATACCTTCTGTATGTTCCAGAACTGTTTCCTCTAGATATTCTCACAGCTTGTGTTACCTCCTCACAGAGGCCTTTCTTCCCCACCCTCTAAAACAGCAAACCCACCTTGCTTTTTCCTCATAGCTCACATCACTACCTAATATTTTCTATCTTTGTGGTGTGTGTCTCTTCTACACAATGCAGGGTATAGTTTGCTTGACAGTGGATGTTTCCTCTGCACTTAAAATACTTCCTGGCACTTTGTAGCTCAACAGATCTGTGTTGACTGAATGACTGAAGTTAGTGACCATGCCTTTCTTATATTTGTCATCTTCACCATGGTACATGTTAGCTCTTAACACATCCTTATAGAGCATTAAGAGTCAAACCAATCCATCATTTTTTGAATGGCACGGCTTGGTTATCTTTACTCTTAATGATTTGGAAAGTGTTTTCCTGGAGGTCTTGATAAAAAGCATAACTTAGGAAAAATGTAAAGCCACCAGTTACATCGTTATTGTACTTATTTATATTCATCTCACCTATAATGGAAGATGTTAGGAAGTAAACATTTTGAAACCTTTGAATCGGCCCATCTTGAGCACAGCAGCCCATCAAATTTGATTGTTGACATCCCCCTTCAGATATTTATATGAAGGGATTAATGGCAGGCAATTTTGAATTAAGGAAAACAATTCCATTAAAAGCTCTAGTACTAAGCTTGAAGATGAGTTTACTAGGTTGAGAAACTTAGATATGAAATAAGCCATACTAAGACATGTCAAAATGGAAAAATTAATCCTTCGAGATATAAAGAATGAAATGATAGTCTACACATCTGTTGTCTGGAGCCTTGGTTTTGATCGTATGTCCAGTCTCAAAAGTGCCCCTTGACCACTTCTCACATCTGAATTCTAGAAGCAAATGGCTCCTTGTGGGGTAAAGGAAGAGTGGAGAACAGATCTAACATTCATTGAGCATGAGTTATGTTCCAGGCCCTTTTTACAGATTAGTGCTTCCATTAGTGCTTGTGAGTTGACATGAGCCTTATTCTGAGAGGTGTAGTAACTTGCCAACATTGTCAGGCCAGTAAAAGGTAGAGCAAGGATTTGAACTACATCTTGGGTTTCTCCAGAACTCTTGCTCGGACCTATTTCAACGGTTTGTGACCTTGCCATCCAAGTTCCCAACATTTGCTTTGTTCAAGGACTTGGGAACCCAGAGTATATGCCAGGAGGCCTGACTGTGGTCCCCGTGGCCTGTATCAGGTTGCTTGCTCACCTGGAGAGGTGGGATGGAAGGGATGAGAAGTTATTGGCCTGAGCTCCATTTGCCACATAGGAGCACTTTGAGAGGTTAGTGTAAAAAAAAAAAAAATACTCCAAGGTTGAACACTAAGGTGTGGGTCTTATCCTTCCAGCCACTGGATGGTTTCCACTATGGTTTAGACCATTTGGATTCTATTCTTGTATTTTTGTCTTTATAGTTTTTTTCGTCCTGATGAGAGAAATATTTCTTCCTGCACGGGTTTTGGGAGTACTGTGGAGACGGATGCCTCACTGGGACTTGTTTTTCTATCTACTGTTATATGGGAACAAGGGTCTGGAAAATGCAGTCTGGGAAAGGTTCCTGAGAATCTGAGTCCTTTTGTTGTTGTTTTTGTTAATGTGCCCATCATAAATAATCACCTAGGAGACCATCTAAGAGAAAAATTCACATTTATATGACCCCTCCCTCCCCGCCTCCCTTCCTCACCACCACCCTGCATTCTACACAGTGATAAAATAATTAGTGGTTTAGTTAATTCAGGTTTTGGAATTTCAGTATAGTTCAATTGTTTTTCATCATGGAATACATAATTGCCAAACTGAGTTTTAGAGAAACCAAAATTTAGCAGCCACTGTCTTCTTCCCCAAACCACTTTTTAGGATTTCTTGGCACAGCAAGGCTCATGTTGGCTGCTAGTGAATTTGAGGACCTAGTCAGCTTCATTGATACATATTTATATTTTATTTATATTTAAATTGCAGATCTTTGACAATGATATTGTTTTTGCTTCTCATTAAAGTATATTTTTCCATTTGGAGCACCCCATTCATGTGCTTTTTCCTACTGTGCCTTTTTTATATTTGTAGGTGTATTTGTCAAACCTTGCATGAGAAGATCACCATTTTAGTGACTCATCAGTTGCAGTACCTCAAAGCTGCAAGTCAGATTCTGATATTGAAAGATGTAAGTAATTTCTAAAAGTCTCCTGAACTTGCCAGTACTCAGGTATATTGAAGAAAGGGTCTGCCAGCAGAACTACCACCCCCCCCCCGGCTTCCTGCAAGACCCCATCCTCTTCCTCACTCTGCCATCTCTTTCTTCTCAGAGCTGGGATTCATGTCTTTGAGGATAAATTCAAAGGATTTGTAGAAATGTGAAATGTCACTGTCACACTCCAAATCATATTATCCTTAAGTCTATTAAATTGCTACCTCAATGTTAATAAATTACAACTGTTCTAGTGAAATTGTTGAAGATAATGATGCTGTTTATTTAGAACTTTTTGTTTCCCTCTTCCATGACTTAAGTCAACTTATATTATTTGGACATGACAGATACTAAGACCTGTTCGTATCCATGTGATTGTCACAGGCAGTTTGCTTACAAAGTTCTTTCCATTTACAACTGAAGCATGGTTGGATAGATGAGCAACCCCTGTTCAGAGCACTCACCTCCTGGTGTAGCCAGTGGCTAGTCTCACTGCACAGGTATTTCTGAGTGCTTGGTTTGTGTAAGATCCAGTAGACCTGTAAGTAAGACAAAGTCCTCACCATTGTGGGGCTTCCATTCTTCCTGGGGTTAGAGGTGATGAAGGTGATAGAGAGGTAGGAGTGCCTCGTGGTGACCTGAGTGACAGTGACAGGAAGGTGCTGGCCATGCGGTCACCTGGGGGAGGAGGATCTGAGGTAGGGGACCAAAGGCGGGTCCTGAAGAAGGAAAGTCACCTGGTATGTTTGCAGGAATGGCAAGGAGGAGGCGGTGTGACTGGAGGGGAGTAAGCCAGGGAGAGTGTGGAGGGATCTGGGCCCAGTAGGCCTGGAGTTGGGACAGAAGCTACTGGACAGTCCAGGGCAGGGCACAGCATGGTCTGATTCATGTTTTAAAAGATCCTCTCGGTGTTTGCTGGAGGGGCTATAGCAGAAGCGAATGTGAAGTCTCAGCAGTTCTGAAGACAGAAGTATGGGCTTAGGATAGTGCATCAGTTTCCTAGGGCTGCAGTACCACACACTGGGTGGCTTAAAGCAACAGAAATGTATTGTCCCACTGTTCTGAGGCTGCAGGTCTAGAATCAAGGTGTCGGCAGGTCTGTGCTCTCTGAAGTCTCTAGGGGAGAGTCCTTCTTTACCTTTTCTACCTTACGGTGTTTTGCTGTTTGGCTTGTCACTGTAGCACTTCAGTCTCTGCCTCTGTTGCCGCACGACCTTGTGTTTGTGTCTGTCTGGATTTCTTAGAAAGGACGTCAGTCATATTGGATGTGGAGCCCACCCTGCTCCATCCAGTATGACCTCATCTGAATTTTATTGTATCCGCAAAGGTTCTATTTTTAACTATGGTCGCATTCACAGGTACCTGGATTTAGGACTTGAACATGCCATTTTCGGGGGTACCATTTAACCCACAAGAAGTGGACATTAGTGAGAACATTTCAGACCCGGTGATGATTTGACACATCACTCCTTTGTTTTGGTTGCCTCTCCACCTCATCATCCCTGTAGTTAAGCTTTGTACTGTTCCAGCAGTTCACTGTAGGTCTGAAACCTCCTGAGTACCTACAAACGTCTGAATGTTTCCCCTTCCACAACTTCTTGGTTAAATGGTGGGAATAACAAAAAATGAATATTAACTACTGTGCGTACCATTCTCAGAGAGAGATACATTTCACATTATTGCAACAGATAGGTTGTATAATGATAGCAGAGTTCTTGCAAGTCTTTTTTAGCCTGAGCACCTTTTTGCTGCTTAATGTGACTACTAAAGAACAGTGAGGGATCTATCCATTGAGGCTCCGTCAGATGAATTCTCACCCAAGTAGGATTATAAAAATTACTGCCTTTTCGGGATCAATGTGTGGTCTCCTCCCCACTCCCCAGGAATAGGGAGTCCAGAATCCTCAGACTTGAAAACAATTGATGTTTTCATGTGCAGAGGGCTGAAACTAGTGTAGGAAAACCTGAATGCTGTTAATACTGTGACTATAGAATCCACAGGTGGTAGAATTAACATTTTTACAAGTCCCAAGATGGTTTGGGGTCCCCGTTATTACTTATTTGAGGATGCTTCGTACTTTCAAAACAACCATTTGTCCATTGGAGGGCACCCTGGATGAACTGGGGTCCTTTCTTACTGTTGGTCCAGTCTCTCCCTAATGACAGAGCAGGACATGGCTGCCCTCTCCAGCCCCTCTGAGTTGTCAGTACTTTGCTTCTGAGGAAAACTGCTATCTCAGTACCAGTAACAGTTTCCTTGTGTCTTACAGATACTAAATGAAAAGTGCTAATTTCATCAAGCAGGGAGTGTGAATTTTACCTCCTAAGTGGAACAAGATGCTATATATATCATGAAACATTTTCTAATTCTCCAGTTATCAAACTGTTCCAAAGAGCTCAAAGGCATCACTGGATTTTTCTCAATGGACCACCAGAGGGGGGACGGAGATCATTCAAGAAACGGGGGAGCTTTGGGCCACCTTCCCCTGCCTGACCTGTCTTAACCAGATCTTCTCTACTTTGATTTGCTTTGTATCCTGGGGTTTTGCCTAATATTTTGTTTGCCACTCTTTGAGTAACTCAACTGAGTCTCATTTCATCAGGTGAACAAATAGTGAAACTATTTTCTATAGCTTTGTAAGGAACTATGCAGGGAGGTGTCCTATGGAATGCTGAATTTTTAGTTAGGAACTTCCTGAGTTTGGGAGGACAATTTTAGAGTGAAGACCATGAAGATGCAGCTTAGGACGTCCGGGCCCAAGGCTAATCCTCATGCCTTGCCCCAGTAGGGCACAAAACACATGCCAGCAGAGGCTTCCTGAGTGCTTCCTACCTGTGCAGATATGCCTGTGCTCATCTTCCTCTCAGTCTCAAGTTTCCTTCCAGGAATATCCTTCCAAAATTACTCTGTTCCTTCAGTTCTTATTGTATGAGGCTTATCTCAATGTCCATGTTCTTTAAAAAGGCTACTTATACCCACCATCTAAATGCCAATGATCTCCAATTGTAACACACAATAACATGGTTTTTTAATATCTCCCAAAAGGTCTGGCAGGGAACAGAATGCTCAGTTATATGTCAAATTGAATTCTACTAGGCTTGTCAACCAGGACTCCAGACCTAAGGATAATGATAATTTAAGACCAATCACTTTTTCTTGATTAGTGTTAGTATTACTAATTAGAATGACCACCTGTAAATGTAGTCCTCTGAAATTATTCGTTTTTATTTTAGGGTGAAATGGTGCAGAAAGGGACTTACACTGAGTTTCAGAAATCTGGGGTGGATTTTGGTTCCCTTTTAAAGAATGAAAACGAGGAAGCTGAACATCCTCCAGTCCCGGGGACTCCCACGCTGAGGAACCGGACCTTCTCGGAGTCTTCGGTTTGGTCTCAGCAGTCTTCTAGACCCTCCTTGAAAGATGGTGCTCTAGAGGGCCAAGAAGTGAGTTCACCTCTTGTGACTGCATGCCCTGGTTTTGTCGGCCCTTAGTGACCTCATAGAACTTTGGCCAACTCTGTTTAGGACATTGTCATTTGTCCCAAAGTAGATTATGTGGTTCCAAGGCCTATCCGATGGAATTGGTAGGATTAAAGCAGGGCAAAGGGGAGCATGCGTGGTTGGGTTATCCTTTGGGTGTGGGCTGGTGAATCTCATGGAGATAATTAGCATATGTGTTTTCTGCTGGAAGTCCCAAACCTGTATGTGGCTTGCTTTGACTTGCTCTGGTAGCTCCAGGCTTCCCTTTTGCATCCAGAGGCTTTAACAAGACCCCCCTAAATGGAATTCTGCTGTGGACCACATTCGATCAGCTGCATTAAATTGTATATGTTGGAATGTTCTGATGTTGTGGGTAGGTAATGGTGGTATTTTTGCCCTGTTATCAGGTGGTTTGTTTTAGGCCAGAAGTAGTGTGTGTTAAGACCAGACAACTCCTGAAACACAGCTGATAATACTGGGAACTATATCTTATTCATCTTGGAATCAATCCCCAGTGACCAGGATAGAGCCCAGTACATCCTCAGAGTATGTGACTCTATAATGCATTTTAAGTCTTCCAGGCAAAAGTGCACTAGAACTCCCTTAAAAACATATGGAGATATTCTTTGCTGTCCAAACCCTTACTGTCCAAATACAGGAGCCTAAAAGATTCTTACACATATTCAGATTAGTGCCTCACATTTCAAACTCTCAGGAATCAATATCTAAAACTTGGGAACCAAATAGATTTGGATCTTATGCTATCTCTTGCTTTCCAAACTCTCATTACTGAAACTCACTGTTTGAGCCCAGTTACTGTATTTGGCTAGGATTTTGACCCTCTTCTGTTATGTTTCCATCTTGAGTGATGCAATCTAGAGTGACACATTAGTTCCACATCATTTTGTATGTGATTTTTTTGAACAGGCTTTTGTGTTAACACTTAAATTCGGGTTTGCTAGGCACGCGCTAGAAATCGTGTGACATACTTTCAGCAAAACCACACCACAACGTACAGATGAGTTTTCTTTATTTTTATTAGGCCCCTAAAGTGGGGTGGCTGGATCCATGGGTAAATGCAGTATGGTTTGCCTAGAGATTTCCACACCCTTTTCCACAGGAGATGTACCACTTTGGACTTCTGCCAGCAGCATATGAGACGTGGCTGTTTTTTTCCTAGCTTTATCAATGAAGCACAATGTCTTTTGAAATGTTTTTGTCTGCTATCTTAACTCCTACTGTCTTGTTTCTTTTGTAGATTGAGAATACACTGGTAATGGCACCAGAGGAGAGCCGTTCTGAAGGAAAAGTTGGTTTTAAGGCCTACAGGAATTACTTCACAGCTGGTGCTCATTGGACTGTCATCATTTTCCTTATTCTCATAAACCTTGCAGCTCAGGTAAATAATATTTGTTTTGTGCCTTCAGGTTAATATTCACAGTCCCCATATTTATGCCATTAATATTATGACTGCATTTTGCAGTTGACTGGGGCTTTGCATTGAAATGTACTATCTGTGGAGAACAAAATGAAGGATGCTTAGTGGTCTTGCATGTACATTACAAAAGGCTTCTAGAAAAAAAGGGTATCTTTTAAAGATTGTAAAATGTAATATACCTTTTCTTGACCTGTTGTTAGCTGGGAGGTTGGGCTTGGCACACACCCGAGCGGGAAGACCCATCTCAGTTCTAGAAACCTTTCTTCCGATTACTCATCTTAGTGGTGAAGAGTTTTGAGTTGGTGAGTCATGCCAGTGTTTGATTTTGTTGTTGCTGTTGTTGCTATCCCCTCCTCTAGGTCGCATATGTTCTTCAGGATTGGTGGCTTTCGTACTGGTGAGTTATTTCTGGTCTCATGTGTGAAGTACTCCAAAATCAGTATGAAGATTTGCTTTTCCATGGAGCTGGGGGAGAGGTAGCGTCGGTCATGCCTTCTCTTCTAATCCTCACTTAGTTTACCTGAAGTTCTTGCTGGTGGAGTGAAACCCATAGTGGTCTCTACCCACGTCTGTTCACAGACAGTACTAAGAACTGAAAACCATGATTGGAACTGAATTTTTGTGAGGTGGATATACACAGGACTGTGTGAGCTAGGAATCATTTTCCAGCATAAAAACATTTCTCCCAGATTGAGGTTCATTTCTGTGTGTGTTTATCTAAATTCCATCTGTAGCTTAATATTTTTTTCTCCCCTGTTCCATAGGGCAAACAAACAAAGTATGCTGAATGCCACTGTAAATGGAGGAGGGAATGTAACTGAGAAGCTAGATCTTAACTGGTACTTAGGAATTTATTCAGGTAAAGTTTAATCATTTGGTCTATTATATGCAAGGCTGAGGTACTTACAATGAGCCTGTGTGAGGAACTAGGGCTTCCAGGAGTAATTCAGTAATGTCTTAACAGATTAGGAGTCTCAGTCGCATTTACTCTGTGAATTAATTAGAATAATTATTTTTAAAATCTACTAGAAGAAAGAGGTTGAATGAAGACTCTTAATTTGCTCTGTACTGGATTTTGAAAGTTAAACCAGGATTGAGCATTCAGAAAATCAGCCACTGGAAATATGTGGCTATTGTCTATTCTAATAGGTTGCTTTAGCTAAATCTTATATCATTATATGGATGGGCAAGGGGATTAGAAACGGATCCCCACCCTGTGGTTCGGATTGTTCCAATTCTGTCTAAATAAACCCCGGCTTTTATTGAACTTGGATGAAATCCTCTGGCAGCAAGGCCCCCAAAATAAAAGCATTATTCCCTCACAGGTATGCAAAGCTCCCTTCACCACACTGCTCATCTCTCGGGCTTCACTAATTACTTAAGAGGGAAGCTGAGCAGGGAAAAATCCAGTGTCTGGGAATTAGGACGCCTTCTATTCCTTACCTTGAGATCACAATGTTATCGCGTCCCCAACTGTGTGATTAATTTAACATCTGGCTTGCCAGACTAATATTAACACTGCGCTCTGTTTTCACAAGAGTGCTTAGAATATATGTAGCATTACACACTGTTTAAAGGAAATCCTCATCTAAAATTTTAAATATTTCCCCAGGATATGCTCATACAAGCTTTCCTCAGAGATAGAGTGAGTTATCTTTGTAAGAACCCACTCACTGAAATTTGGTATTTATTTTGTTGATCACTTACTAAGAAATCTAAATTCAGTGGCTGTTTACCTTCGAATTGGTGAACTGTGTGAAAACTGAAGGAAAAAGGAAGTCAGCTCTATTACACGTTCATGTAGGGTGGGGGGCTATAAAGATAATAATGCCCATTGATGGAATTTAGGAATTTAACCGCTCTCAGAGGTTAAATAACAATGATGTGAGGTTAAATAACAGTGATGTGTCGTTTGAAGGGGAAATATGTATTATAGAAGTTATTCCCATTGTATTTAGCATTGTGAGTAAAGAGATATTGGGAAAGCTCTTTTAATTTCTGTGTAGATAGTGGTTATCCAGTCGTGTCTTAATAAAAATATATAATTTACATTATATTCACTTAAAAAAGCTTTGTGTCTATATAAAACAATGGGGGGTTAGTTGCTTATGTAGATTAATTATCTTATGTTAAAATATAATTTGTATTTTCTTGCTATTCAGCTGTTAAGAGGTTTTCCACATGCAATTTAATGTGGTATTTTTAAATTCTTTAAAGCTACTTGGGCATTTTCTACAAGGAAAAGGTAAATAATTTCTCCTATTCCCTGTTAATATCACATGCTGGTATCAAAGCATACCACAGTCTTAGATTATGGGGCATAATGTAAATAAGACGATTTTGGAATATGGAGAAGAGATCAACTGCTTTTTATAATTGTCTGTTTCACTTCTGAGTTTTAAATAGAACTTGCAGTTGAATTAGGAAAACCTAGAAAGAAATTGGATTCTATATCTGATTAATTTTTTTCTGGGTAGTTTCCATTTAGTGCGAGAAAAATTATTATAATTCTTGTCAATGTATTTTGTAAATAATTCTACTTTTGTAGAATCCAGATGCCTTTTGGAATAAAATAAGTAATATCATAAACTGCCTGACTCGCTTTAGCACTGTTGAAGAAAATGCCGAGATGCGCTGTGTTCTCTGAGTGATATTTCTTTTTTTTAGGTTTAACTGTAGCCACCGTACTCTTTGGCATAGCTAGATCTTTGTTGGTATTCTACGTCCTTGTTCATTCTTCCCAAACTTTGCACAACAAAATGTTCGAGTCAATTCTGAAAGCTCCAGTATTATTCTTTGATAGAAATCCAATAGGTAAGTCAGATACTAAGTTTCTCAGTAAATATGTCTTGTTAACAACACATTTAGGATCTGATTACATTTCCACCTTTGAAAATGGAGGGGATGCTTGGAAGAAAATCACTATGCATGTTGATTCATTTTCTACAAAAAGCCTCACTGATATTTTTCTCCTACCAGAGAAAATCTGAATACAGGGAGCATACAATCTTTTATTCCAATTTATGTGTGTGTGGAAAAATAAATGAAGGTTCACTTTGCAGAATGATTTAGGAATTCATTTGTTGTGAGGCATAGGAAACACCCTGCACTTCATGTAAACATGTTTCAATGTAGCTGAGTAGTTGCTAAAACATTGGGTACGTTTACATAGTGTTGGGTTATGCCGTTTGGGGGAGGAATCTTATCAGGATTGCTTTCTGATATTGAAGCAGGCTGTACATGCCTTTCTTTCATTGGGAAATCTGTCCATTTCTGGAATCACAGGGCTCTTGTTCATACCCTGACTATGAGGTTTCCCTGAAAACGTCAGTGGTAAAATGTCAACACCCTTTCAATCACAGTTTAAAAGTGGACTTTTGGTTGTGTAGTCAAGGCTTCGTTGTACTTGCCATACTGAGTGTGTCACTCCGAGTATACCCAGTAGTTGCCTAGTGGTTGGTACCTCTGTGCTGAGGGCTTTTGATGGATCTTCCTTCTGAAGCTGGCCTCCCTGACCTGGATTTCTATGGAGAGTTAGTCATCTTCATGCATCCTTACCCGGTCAGTTGGGTAGACTTTTGGGGAGACCCAGAATGGCTTTGTTTGTACAGGTGATAATTGACAGGCCCCATAGAAATAGGAGGTATCCTTGAGGGAGCACATGTGTAAGTTTGGCCTGGCCATTGACTTTGTGTGTGGATGAGGCCAGATACTATGTAGGTGCTATTAAACAGACAAATTTTCAAAGCAGATGTTGTGGTTCAAAATGTGAACTCTGCAGCCAACTGCCTGAAAGGGTTCAATCCTGGTACTGGTTATTAACAGCAATAGTTCGTTATAGTTATGTTAGTATTTATATGCTAGTTAATTACTTTCTCTGTGCCTCGTTTCTCTTATATGTAAAATTGGGGATATGGTTCATGCCATATAGAAATATTATGAGAATTAAGCAGGTGAATAGATTCCAGAGCTTCAAATAGTGCTTAGCCACATAGTCGGTGCCTAATGGATGTTAGCGACAATGATACTGTGGTGTCTCTGAACTTGAGTCTCCTCACCTGTGGGGTGGAAATAACTCTTGCCCTTCCTTTTTCACACAATTGTGAAGATTAAATAAGACTGTTCTGAAAAGTATCTCGTGTAGCTTTATTTCCAGGTGATGTGGAAAGCACAAGGAACGGCGAACTGCAGAGGCCATGCAGACACACTGTCCAACTTCAGCTGTCATTAGGAAGGGGTTGAGGACCTCTGCACTCTTGGGGCTAGAGCGTTGTTCCTTTTTGCTACTTGATTTGAAAATTGCAGTCATAAAATTTGGAGCATTAAGTGGGACTGCATTTCTGTTATGGATCTCTGAATGCTCGTGACTGCAGTTAACCAACCTCTTCACATCCAAGACTTGTGGGCTTCTCTTCGCACTAACTTATTATTCAGGGATTTGGGACCCAGTCTAAATCTTGGAGGTCGCTAATCTTAGAGCAGCTTGCGAGCGTTTATCTCACCTCCCCCTCCTGTATCTATTTACAGGATTTCATCCCTTCAACCAAATAGAAGCCCAAATAAGTACCCCCAAAGAGAGGCCTACTAGTTTGCCCAAAATGTTTCGAGGTCATGAATTATTTACTTTTGGTAGTGGTAGATGTTTTAAAAAGTATATTAAAAATTTTTTAAACAATTTTAATAGTAGATTTAAAATTTTCATTTGGATACAATTTTTGCACTTTTTGCAATGGTGAAGCTATTCATCAAAGCTATGAATTATGCGTCATAGTGTATGCCACTGATTGTATGTGCTTTAATGGTTATATAATACAGATAAAAATTCCCCTGTAGGGTGGCAAGGTAGGCATGCTCTATTTTTAAGTACGGTTGAACATGTGTGTTAAATGTATGTAAGTGTCCAGTATAATGTCACACCCCCGTGAACTGCAGAGTGTTCTCTGAGCAGTGGAGAGAGACCAGGAAGCAGATCTGAATACTTAGCAATTCAGAGCAAGCTCCCAGGAGATCCAGTAAGAGTTTCTATGAGGGCAACATCCCGACAGTCTCCCAGATTTTAGAGAAAACCTAAGGAACAGGAAGGATGTTTTGCCATTATGGAGCTTCTGGTATGCTAGACTTGGGGTGGTAATTAATACAGAAGCTCCAGGTGAAGCACACCAGAGGACTGGCTCGACTTCCCTTCCATCTTCATTCATTTCCAGTTTCCACTTGTGCTGGAATGTTCTCAGTGGTCCTGATCTGGAATGTAGAGACGTCTTCTTCATTCATTCAGGGCTGTTCCCACTGCAGATGTGCTGTCCCTCGTCACGCTTCCTCCCCATTCCTCATCTCTGTTGTGAATCATCGACTTTGGTACTTACTCAGGGAGCCAGACCCTCAGTGGAGGGGCTCACTGGGTGCCCTGCTTAGGTCCCAAGTTCACTTATTTGAGTTTAAGGAGAAGGGCAAATTAAACCTGGAAGATACATATATGTGAGGCTTCTCTGACTATACTTTTAACTATTTAAGTTAGCTGGTTTCTAAGGTCACGCCTCTCACAGGTGCAAGACTTTAAGCTACTCTCCATTTTGAACCCACGTATGGCTGTGCAGAGCTTGTCTTAGTTTATCTATGTAACACGATACCTTATGGTCTACTAGGCTTTTATTAACTTGATGAATCTTAAGCTATTTGGGTAAAATTTGAGCCAGTCCAGTGTACGGCCTCAGAGTGACAAGAGCCAGTTTTCTTTTCTCATCTTCTTTTTACCCTCCTTCCTTTCACCCATCTCTAGTTTTTATTCTTTCCTCCTCTGTTGTATTTTGGTAGTGGTATTATGTATCTGTTAAAGAGCCTCGCCTTTTCAGCAGCCCCCATACCTCCAGTACATTGTGATCACGACCTGAGTTGAGTAGCAGATTTGCAGATGTGTCCTGATGCTGTCTGCTGTGTCTGCCTCTTCTTAGCCGAACCCGTCTTCTGCCTTAGCCCTGTTCTGTCTGATCCTAATATATGGGTCACACAAATCCCAGGTCAACAGTAAATCATTCATAAATTAAGAGATGATTTCTATTTTAAATGTAAATCCTGTTCTCCTTGCACTGGCAGAATCCATTTTACTTTTGACATCCAGCACAAGAGGGCAGCATGATCTGCCGTATTTTGGGGAGAGATTGTAAGTGCGCCTCACTGCAAAACCTAGTTTTTATTTTAAAGCTTTCTTGGAAATTCTATTTTTATAGTTTGGGTCTTTGTATTTTGATCTGTGTTAACAGGGAATTTTAAGAGCATTTTTGTGGTTTATTATGTTTGAAACATTGAAGTCTTTATTAAAGATATATTCCCAGTGTTGTCCTGGAATACCTAGCATTTCAAACAAGGTCATTCATATTTTCTAATTAATCTTTCTTGACCAGTAACTGCAATAGGCAGACACTGACATCTTGACTGGATGTATTTTAATTCATAAAGGTATATTATGGTTGCTTTTATGATCTATTACTATTTTCTTCTTAACCATGAGTTTAGAGGGAAAGATGACCACACAGTTAACTTCTTCAGTTTTTTTTCCCATGCCATTAGAATTAGCAGAGCTTCTTTATTCTTATCAAGAATCTTATAATTTCACTCTTTGTTTTGGAGACAAGATGAGTGGTTAGTTGTCCTGTTTTCTCATGCCTAGTGATGGTGACATAACACTTGGCTCAACACATTGACTCTAATGGATTCCAGCTAAATATCTGTTTATTTGCTTTCAATTTGTAAATTTGGCTTTAAGAAACAGAGCCACTGGTGTCGATAGATATGTTTGTTTATTCTCTCAGGGAGGTACACAGCTATTATTGGGTTGCAGCCAGTGTGTTCATTTCACACAACTGATTTTTCTGCAATGTGTATATAGTATGTGTGTAAATTCATTTGTGCATTCCATAGTGTAAAAATCACAAATTGATATCGTTATTTTTTCTTTATAGATTAAGTTAAATGAGATTTAGCACACTAGAAAAAGTAGTCAAGAAACATACTGATCTGTTCTGTTGTTGCTTTTATTCTTCTGGTGGAAGGTGTTTGTGGTCATGGATGTAGGGAACATGAATGGTAGGTTTTAAGACAGACGTATTTTCATATCTCTTCGAGTCAAAAATCTCGAGCTGCCCCCGCAATTAAGATTCCAGACTTTACTGAGTGGGAAATGAGACTCTGTCGATGCTGTCCCAAATATAAACTGTCCTGAACTAGGATGTGCATCTTATGGGGAGTGTGGGGAGGAGAGTAGTGGTGGCTTGAACAATGGTTTTGTTTCTCGAACCTGGAAAGGGACTCTAGAATCCACTGCAAGTTGCTAAATAATTTGTGGAGAAGCCAGAAGTGAACTGAAAGCAACATGGTGAGCTTTTTGTGTTATCAGAAAGACTGTCTTGCTATACTGTTTTTAATATCCATTGTCCACATACCACTGCCTTGCCAGGAAAAAAAGAGTCATCAAAAGACAAGAGACATAATTGTAGGGATACCTACCTGCCTGTTTATTCGGATCAAATGACCACTGGAGTTAGTGCTAAATGCATATTTTTAACAAGCATAATATTTCAGCACTGTCAAAATTACCTTGACGATAATAGGCCTGCTAAATTATAGCTCTATAAGTTAGGAGGTAAGATGGCTGTGCTTAGCACACATCAATCTGTGCCTGTTCACACAAGTGATTCTGCTGAGCAGGTCGCATGTTGAAACAAGAAATACTGGTCTTAAAGCCTCTGATTTACGGTAGGGGTTGTTTTGACACAGCATCATTCAGACGATTTACAAGGCAAGGCTTCGTGTTAAAATAT